TTTTAGGTAAGTGGTTAACTCTTCTCTCCTTATTTTGCAAAACCCATAAACTATTTTAGAATCTCTACTACTTTGAATGCCCATTTAAGGGTTAGTATGAGTTAAAAGTATTTTGGACTATGATATGTTTTTGGACTATTAAACTTGACTAAAGATATCTTTGGGCATGCCTAAGTTTGGATTCTGTGAATAAGTGAACATGACTATATTTGACTATATTCGTATGTGTATGATTTGTACTAACGTGTTTTGCTCTAAAAGAGGATCATATAATTTATTTGACAATTATTAGTTTATGATTTCATAATATTACTTTTGGATATGTACTTTGTTATGTGATCTTTAAGGAATTGATTTTTGCTACAATGGGCTATTTGATTATAAGAATTATTTTGAAGGTTTGACCAAACTCATGAGGCAACCTACATTTTGTCGTTTGTTCTGTTCGGCTTGGAACGTTCCTAATTGCTCATTCTGAATCGTCGAGCTTGGCTCATTCCGAATCGTCGATTCTTTTGAATTATTTGTTGGAAAGTTCCATCCGGCTCATTCTGAATCATCGAGCCTGACTCATTCCGAATCGTCGAGTCTTTTTGGACCATTATGCCGATAATGGTGGTTGTAGGTTGCCAATGAGTCATATGTTAAGGAATGATTTGTTCTTTTGAAAGTATTGCATTATGAAATGATGTTGATGCCCATGTAGCTAAAGTTTTCCGTTTTGGGAATTTGTGTATAGTATGATGTAAGTATGTTATAACTTTGATATAGTTTAAGGATTGAGTTTTGCATCTGTTTATTACTCTTAGTTTTTTGTACTCTATTGGGGTTACTTGATCCGGGGTTGAGAGGAGTACCACTTACTGGGCATTAGCTCATTATTTGTATATTTTTCCTCATGTTTCAGAGTAGTTAAGGACATGTGAATAACACGAGCACAAGTGGTGGGGTTTCGAAGGTGACTTTTGAAACTAGGAGGCTTAGTCCTAGTATTGGAGCTTATCATGGACTTTTGTTTATTTAGATTTTCCCTTTGACCTTTGTATTTTTGGTAAACCATGTGCTTGGTTTTGATGCTTGTGATGCATTTTGGACGTACTACTCTTGATTGTAAATATTTAATAGTGAATTTGATGAGTTTTTGGGAAGAACTAGTCGATTATATTTTGTCTTTTTGGGTTGTGGAATTATTGTATATTCAAGTGTTATTATGAAGATTCTGAGAGGTATGTATGGTTAGGCTTCGTATTGTTACAGGTTTTCATGTAGCGATACGGCCGGGTCATGTCCTAGAAGTGGGGCGTGACAGAGTGGTATCAGAGCCTAGGTTTAAATCCTTAGTTGGTCAAGAAGTTAAGTTTGAATTTTTGCAAGATTAGACTTTAACCTAGCGGATGATAAGTTTATGCCTTGGGCAAGTTTTGGATGTGGTTTCCTAGACATTTTCGCTAATGTGGCCATACTTTTTCTGTTTGAATTTAAGGAGTATTGCTTTACAAGGATCAGGACGGGTGTTCCTAAATGTGGTCGAACTCATCGGGTTAGCCTGTTGATAAATGTGTCGCCTATTCGGAATATAGTTGTAGATGTTTACGTGCTGTGTGATTCAGGTTCTTCGCATTATTTTATTTATGAGAAGTTGCAAAGGATTTAAATTTGCAAGCTAAGAAGTTGAGTGATCATTTATATGTTAATAACCCTATGGGAAAGATTGTGGTGATAGATACTTGGTTTCAAGATTGTCATCTACAACTTAATGGAAGTGATGTGTCAATTAATTTAATTTAGTGGGATATGCAGGATTTTGATGTGATATTAGGAATGGACTGGCAAAAAAAAAAAAAAAAAACTATGCCTATATTGATTGCGCTCGTAGGAAGGTGGTATTTGAAATTCTTGGACAATCTATCTTTACTTTGAGACACTTTCCTAGGAGCGAAATGTTGGTGTCGAAAGTGGCATTGAAAGTAATTTCTGCATTGGAGGGTAAGAAAGAATTGAGAAAAGGGTGTAGCGGTTTCTTGACTTATGTAATGGATACCCACCAGAAAGAAGTTGAGTTAGATGATATCCCAGTTGTTAAGGAATTTTCGGATGTGTTCCCAGAGCATTTACCTGGATTACCTCCAAATAGAGAAATTGAGTTTGAAATAGAGGTTCCCGGAACTACTCCAATCTCAAAGGCCCCTTATCGCATGTCACCGTCTGAGCTACGTGAGTTAAATGTGCAATTGCAAGAATTGCCTGATATGAGATTTATTAGACTTAGTGTATCTTTTTGGGGGTGCACTAGTGTTATTTGTGAAGAAAAAGGATGGTAGCTTGCGATTGTGTATTGACTATTGGAAATTGAATAAAGTTACTGTCAAGAACAGGTATCCTCTACCTCAGATAGATGATTTATTTGACCAATTCATGGTGCTAAATACCTTTCAAAAATTGATTTGAGATTAGGGTACCATCAATGGAAGGTTAAAGCTAGTGATGTACCCAAGACTACTTTTAGGACCTGGTATGACCATTATGAATTTTTTTTTTTGGTGATGTCGTTCGGGCTAACTAATGCTCCTGCTTTCTTTATGGATTTAATGAATAGGGTCCTCAAGTCATTTCTGGACAAATTTGTTGTGGTATTCATTGATGACATTTTGCTATATTCAAAGAGTGAGGAAAAGCATGCTCAACATCTAAGGACCATCTTGCACACTTTGAAGGAAAATGAATTGCATGCGAAGCTAAGTAAATGTGAATTTTGACATAAGAAGATATCTTTTTTTTTGTCATGTAATTTCTGGAGACAGGATTTCTGTAGACCCAACTAAGGTTGAAGCAACAACACAATGGTTGAGACACACTAATGTTACAAAAGTAAGGAGTTTTCTGGGTTTAGCAGGTTAATAACTATGCCATTGATTCGGTTAACTCGGAAGGGTATAGAGTTTAATTGGGATGAGTAGTGTGAGAAGAACTTTCAAGAATTAAAGGAAAGATTGGTTAGTGCACCTATCTTAGCCCTACTATCTGGGGAATAAGGATTTGTTATTTATAGTGATGCATCAAAAAGAGGATTAGGATGCGTGTTGATGCAAAATGATAAGGTGGTAGCCTATGCCTCTTGACAATTGAGGTCTCATGAAGTTAACTACCCCACTCATGACTTAGAACTAGCAGTTGTGGTATTTGATTTAAAAATTTAGAGGCACTACCTGTATGGAGAATCTTGACAAATATTTATGAACCATAAGAGTTTGCAGTACCTTTTTACCCAAAAGGAATTAAACATGAGACAACGACGATGGTTGAAGCTAATAAAAGAATATGACCTCACTATTAATTATCATCCATGTAAAGCTAACATGGTAGGCTGGTGCTTTAAGTCGTAAGTTTTCCACTGTTAATGTGATAGTGGTGACTAGTCAAACCTAATTGTTGAAAGATTTTCAAGATTTAGAAGTTGAGGTTATTTTGCAAAATAAGCGAGGGATATTGGCAACTATGATTACAAAATTGGTATTATTAGATCACATCAAAGCAGCCCAAGTTTTATATCCTGAGCTGATTAAGATTCGGGAAAAAAATTCAAGTGGGTGACCCAAGAGAGTTCGGTATTCATGATGATGGATCCCTATATTTCAAGTCCTGACTATGCATTCCAAATGATGTTGAGATAAACAAGGATATTTTAAAGGAGGCCTATCAGTCTCACTTCTCGGTACTTCCAGGTGCTACCAAAATGTATAAAGATATGAAAAAAAATAATTTCTGGTGGAGCGGTATGAAGCGAGATATTGCTGACTTGGTGGCTAGATGCATGATATGTCAATATGTCCAAGCTGAACACCAAAGACCTGTAGGATTATTGAAACCCCTAGAGATACCTCAATGAAAGTGGGAACATATATCTATGGATTTTGTGATTGGATTACCGAACAGTCAGCATGGGGAAAATACAATTTGGGTTATTGCACACTTTCTACCCATTAGGAAGACAACTTCATTGAATGACCTAGCTGAGTTGTATGTGGATGAAATTGTAAAGTTACCTGGTGTACCTGTTAGTATAGTATCTGACTGGAACTCTAGATTTATGTCAAAATTTTGGAGAAGCTTACAACGAACCATGGGGACTGAATTAAAATTACGCACTGCATATTATCCACAAATAGATGGGCAAACAGAGAGGACTATTCAGACCTTGGAATATGTGCTTCAAGCTTGTGTCTTGGATTTCAAAGGTAGTTGGAGTAAATACTTAACTTTGATTGAGGAGGTTGCATATAACAATAACTACCAATCGAGTATAGGAATGACACCTTTTGAAGCTTTATTTGGAAGGAAATGTAGATATCCTTTATATTGGAATGAAGTTGTAGAAAGAAAGATCTTAGGACTAGAACTTGTACAACTCACAGTTGAGAATATTCAATTAATTAAGAAAAGAATTAAAGCCTCGCAAGACAGACAAAAGAGTTGGGTTGACTTGAAAAGAAGAGAATTGGAATTCAAAGTTGGGGATTTGGTGTATTTAAAGGTTTCACCAACTCGAGGAGTAATGAGGTACGTAGAGAAAAGGGAAATTAAGTCCACGTTACATTGGACCATTTGGGATTCTAAGTTGAATAGGTAGTTTGGTTTATGAGCTAGCACTACCTCCACAACTAGCTGGAGCTCACAATGTATTCCATGTATCAATGCTACGAAGGTACATTGCAGAACCGAGTCAAGTGGTGGAGTATCAACCACTGCAAGTTACAGATGATTTAACTTATGAAAAAGTAGCTCTTAGCATCATTGACCAAAAGGAACAATTGTTGAGGTCACGAGTAATCCCCTTTGTTAAAGTGCAATGGTCACATCATACTCCAAGAGAAGCAACATGAGAAAAGGAAGATGATATGAGGATAGATATCCAGAACTCTTCAAGTTTGAAGGTATGCAAGTTTCGAGGACGAAACTTATTTTAAGGAGGGGAGATTGTAATACCCACAACCTTATAAATAATATATATATATGTTTAGTAAATGAGGTCAACAAGTCAAAGCTTATTAAAATTTGATATTAGATAAAATTACTAAATTACCCTTCTCTACCCTTAAAGATTAAGGAATCCCTTGGTTTTGGAGAAAGATCTCTTTTAAAAGAAGATAAGGAGAGTTGACTAGAGAGATGGGGGAAGGAAAAATCTTGAAGCTTTGATCTCCATCTTCTTCAAGTTTAGGTCTCAAGTTATTGGGAGTATTCTAGGTGAGTTTGATCTCCATTTTTTTTTTCACTCTTTTTGAGTTGGGTTTATCATTTGAGCCCTAAGATTAATGTTTGAAAATATTAGGGATTTTGACAAGGACTATTTGGGCGAGTTTAATAGCTAAGATTTGGATGTTTTTAGGTAAGTGGTTAACTCTTCTCTCCTTATTTTGCAAAACCCATAAACTATTTTAGAATCTCTACTACTTTGAATGCCCATTTAAGGGTCAGTATGAGTTAAAAGTATTTTGGACTATGATATGTTTTTGGACTATTAAACTTGACTAAAGATATCTTTGGGCATGCCTAAGTTTGGATTCTGTGAATAAGTGAACATGACTATATTTGACTATATTCGTATGTGTATGATTTGTACTAACGTGTTTTGCTCTAAAAGAGGATCATATAATTTATTTGACAATTATTAGTTTATGATTTCATAATATTACTTTTGGATATGTACTTTGTTATGTGATCTTTAAGGAATTGATTTTTGCTACAATGGGCTATTTGATTATAAGAATTATTTTGAAGGTTTGACCAAACTCATGAGGCAACCTACATTTTGTCGTTTGTTCTGTTCGGCTTGGAACGTTCCTAATTGCTCATTCTGAATCGTCGAGCTTGGCTCATTCCGAATCGTCGATTCTTTTGAATTATTTGTTGGAAAGTTCCATCCGGCTCATTCTGAATCGTCGAGCCTGACTCATTCCGAATCGTCGAGTCTTTTTGGACCATTATGCCGATAATGGTGGTTGTAGGTTGCCAATGAGTCATATGTTAAGGAATGATTTGTTCTTTTGAAAGTATTGCATTATGAAATGATGTTGATGCCCATGTAGCTAAAGTTTTCCGTTTTTTGGAATTTGTGTATAGTATGATGTAAGTATGTTATAACTTTGATATAGTTTAAGGATTGAGCTTTGCATCTATTTATTACTCTAAGTTTTTTTGTACTCTATTGGGGTTACTTGATCCGGGGTTGAGAGGAGTACCACTTACTGGCATTAGCTCATTATTTGTATATTTTTCCTCATGTTTCAGAGTAGTTAAGGACATGTGAATAACACGAGCACAAGTGGTGGGGTCTCGAAGGTGACTTTTGAAACTAGGAGGCTTAGTCCTAGTATTGGAGCTTATCATGGACTTTTGTTTATTTAGATTTTCCCTTGGACCTTTGTATTTTTGTAAACCATTGTGCTTGGTTTTGATGCTTGTGATGCATTTTGGACGTACTACTCTTGATTGTAAATATTTAATAGTGAATTTGATGAGTTTTTGGGAAGAACTAGTCGATTATATTTTGTCTTTTTGGGTTGTGGAATTATTGTATATTCAAGTGTTATTATGAAGATTCTGAGAGGTATGTATGGTTAGGCTTCGTATTGTTACAGGTTTTCATGTAGCGATACGGCCGGGTCATGTCCTAGAAGTGGGGCGTGACAAGAACACTTGGTAAGTTAAAAACAAAATAAATTTAGCATAATATCATTGATTATGGAAGCATTATTATTATGATTCTAAACATTAATAATTAATCCAAGAAATTTTTGTTCGATTAATGCAAGCCAGTGAGGGTTATGCATAGCATAATTAAGTAGGATGGTTTGGAGAAAGTTGGAAATAATGCAGGTGAAGGCTATATATGCTGCCATGCATTGACATTGAGGAAGCGTGTGTTAAAGCTTTGACCCTCACTGTTTGCTGCATGCCAAGCTTCTGGATCATCAGGCCGGGATTACAGGTCACCCTCAACACCTTCAGTCAACATTCTATGGGGCAGAACAAGAGGGTTTTGAGTCTGAGGAAAATAAGAATAATGAGTAGTATCAAGCAACACTACTGTTTGCGGCATGCCAATATACTCAGGGAAGTATCAATAATAAAGTTCCACTTGCATTTCTGGTATGCCGTAATAGATATGAGAAACGCAAGTTGTATGTACTGACATGTGTTTTTTTTCAGAAATTCGACAAACTCACCGTTTATGAAGTTCAATGCAAGATTTGTGCAAGGATGGTGCTAAGTTTGTGCATCAATCAGGGGCGGATTCAGAATTTCCTTTGAATGGGGGGAAGAAATAAACTGATAAACATAAGCAAAGCATAATTTATTGAAAGAAGCACATGTGACAATTAAGCAAAGCATTAATCATAATCTGTAAGCAAAACATTAACTAATTAAAATGTGGAAGAAGGCCGTGACATCATTCTTTGAAAAAGCGGTGGTCGATGGTGGTCCAGAACATCACGATGCCATCCTCCGGGGAGAAGCGGTGGTCGTTGATGGTGAACAACAACAAATATAAACGAAGATTATTTTTAAAATTTATTATTATTATTATTATTATTATTATTATTATTATTATTATTATTATTATTATTATTATTATGGAAGGCATTATTATATATGATTCTGAACATTATTTATTAGTCCAAGAAAATTTGGTTTGATTAATGCAAGCCAGGTGAGGGTTATGCATATATAGCATAATTAAGTAGCTAGGATGGGTAGAGATGGTTTGGAGAAAGCTGGAAATTCATCGATCTGCTGCAGGTGGGGTTTGTGCATGATTTCAAGGTGTAGTGTTTCATTGATACAACGCTGAGTACAGTGCAAGATTAATTTGGGCGCGCGGTTTGAGTGCAAGATTTTTGCATCAAATTAAGATTCCCTGAAAGAATATGAGGCTTTTTTTTTAGAGAGAGAGAGAAAAAAATTGAGGATTTGTGTGCAAGAATTTGATGGTAGGGTTGTGGCTTACATTCGGCTGGCAGGCTTTGATGAATTGTCTTGATTGGAAATGACATTTTTTTGAAAATAATCTAAGTATGATTAATTAAACAAGAGGAATAAGGTGTGGAATACAATGAGGGATAGATGAAAATCTAGCAAAAGGACCATGCTGTGAATTTGTTGTCCTTGCTAAGGTTTGGGCAAGCATATTCACTGATCGACGAATAAAATAGTAGGACACGTTATCAAAGTGTCTCACAAACCTACGGCGACATTTAGGCAGTCAGTTTCGATGGTAATACACTGATTATTGGAAATGATATATTTGGATTGGTCTTTGATCACTGCAATGGTGGAGAGATGGCGGCCAGATAACCATTCTTTCCAACTTCCATGATTTGTGGAGATTATATTCTCTTAGGATTGCGCATTGATGGCAAGCTTAAATATTTCCAAATGCAGACAAAAGATGAGTTGTAGTGACCTCCTCAGCATTAGCCCTAACAACTAATAACTCTCTGTTTGATCCTGATATGTCTACAGAACTCGCGACTGCTGACAAATCATTCAACTGATGAAGACATAGAAAACATGACACAGTTATGTATCATGCAATTACTAAGTGAAGCAGTGTACTGTTATTCCCGGACACGTCGAACAACAAGGTGAGACTATAGCTTTGACAACAAGGTAAGACTATGTTTCGTAGACTACATTAGAGATTTGCAAAGTGCCAACGACTACAGTTGGTGTAGTGCTATACTTAAATTTCCTTCTTGTATAGAAGCATGTGCAGGGTGACCATGTATAATGCTTATCAAATTTGCGGTTCAATTCCTCATTCTTCTTCAATTCTGCCAACGACTACAGTTGGTATAGCGCTATTCTTGAATTGCCTTGTTGTATCGAAGCATGTGCAGAGTGACCAGGGATAATGCTTATCAAATTAAATTAGCCGTCCTCATTCTTCTTCAATTGTGGGTTTGGGAGGGTATCGCCACACCTTACTCTCTCCAAACATACTTAATTAATAGATCATCGACCTAGAGCTGTTAGCTAGATATATATGTTTACTAATTTATTTCAAAATTATACTAATCCAAGATCATGTGTTAAAATTTAAATATTGTCCAATAGGTACCACCCATTAAAAAGGCATGAACGTCAACTTTTTAAAAAACAATAAATATGTAAATAATATTAAACTAGAAAAAGTATTTTGTATTAGTGATATATAAGACAGTAGAAATAATATTGGTAGCTGATACTTATAGTGGTTACCATTTCGATCTATTTTCAAAGTCATCAATACAAATATTCTTTCTAGTTTAATATTATTTATTACTCTATTTATTTTATATTTTATTTTATTTTATTTTTTACTTTCAGATAGGTGAAATTATTAGTAACTAGTACCGCCATATTTAATTTTTAGCTTCACAAAGCCATTGCACCAACAGTTGAGCCAAACTAACCACTACTTATTAGGTCATTTTTAGGAAGTGTACTAGAGTTTGACGACGTTGGCATTCCTGTCAAGCACTGGGACTGAGCTACTTAAGGGGGTAGGGGGCCCCTGACCCCCACCCCCACCACACCCCTACCCTCACCTTAAATTTTTTAGTAAATATGTATGCATATATATAGTAGGGATAAAATACACTTTTTACCCCCTCTAATTTTTTTAAAAAACAGTTATGTTTATATTAAATGAACTAAAAATATATATCAAAGTTGAAGTTCATTAAATATATAGAAATAAATCAAATAATTAAAGTGACCATTTTTCTTTATTATCTAATTTCTTTTATCAAGATTTTAATAAATAATGACATCAAGTATACATTTTAATTTAAAAAAATCTCCAAATTTGAGATACATTCTCTGGTTTTATTAGTTATATATGTTCATTAATTAATTAGTGATTTATTGTGTGTTTTAATTATTTATTTACATTTTAAGATGTACATTTAATTTGCTAGTTTAAATGATTAGGTTTGAAATTGACAAAAATTAATATTAATTATTTAATTCGTCTTGGTTTTTGTCTTTATCTCTCAAATTTTGAAATATTTAGTTAACCAGTAAAATGAATATAAGTTAATTATGAAAAAATTTGGTGATAAAATTATTGACAAAACTTTTTATTTGATGTTATATGACAATCTATATTTAAATAAATGTTGTTGTTATTGTTATTATTATATTTTGTGTTATGTGAAAAATTTCCAAAGTAATGCATGTGTCGATCGTACTCATATAATTATGTGTTTCATAGTTTATTACACATACTATAATTAGAAATCATTATCAATAATAACCACAATAATGTATGGTATATATAATAATATATGGTGCCGTTACTTATAATGTCGACTAACATTATAAATTTTCTCTACTACATCGGCCTCCATCTCGAGCATCCATAACAATAATATGTATGTATATATATATATATATATATATATATATATATATATATATATATATATATATATATATATATATATATATATAAGAAAGTGACTGTTAGGCCCTGCCGCGCCACCGAGCACACGCTCGTGTGGCTTCTGCTGTGCGCAAAATGCGCATAGCACCTTCATTTGTTTCTCTTTTCTTGGGAAGAAAAATATTTCAAAGCTTGCCGGGTGAGCTGCCCCACTCTCTCTTCTCTCTCTCCGCCATGTAGACAAGCAAATCTAAAAAACCGTGAATAAACTCTTAATAATACTCTGTTATTGATGCTTTTAAAAGCATACTGAGATCAACTTGCCAATATGGAAGAAGGCACTCATGTATGTACTAAGGTACTTATATTCTTGTACAGGACAAACAGAAGTTGTCTAAAAAGAGAAACTTCATGCTGTCATGCTCCTATTAATTTTCAAATACTACTGGAGGATAAAGTTCATTATTAACTGAAATCAAAATTCTATGCATGTGAAAACTGTTAGATATACAATAGTCTAACTATAATAAACCATAGTATACGAGAAACCTGACCTCGTATGATAGCGGAAGCGTAGCCGTGTTGATCTCCAGCCATAGTTGATGTTCCTGTTGTGTTGCCTCTCAACGGTAGTCCGTTAGCCATGTTTTGCCTCAGACCTGATTCAGAACCCTAGATGGTGTATTGGTGTCTACTGAGCAGTCTGAGTACCGTAACTGAATGTGCTAACATCCAACATGTATCCCATCAATCCAGGATTATATTAGGCACAGAGTTTGGTTGACTAACAACTACTAGTTATTAAGTCCAACCAGACCACTTAATAAGCCTAGTCAACTTGCACCACTTAATTAAGGCCCTAATATATAATATATATTATTAGGGAAAATCTTACATTTTCCCACTTGGTGCAAGTACTAGCACAACCTTCATCAAAGAACGAAACACACGAATCATAGTGATATGTCCTCTATTTAATCAGAGTAGTATCCATTATGGTCACATGCACTTTAATTCTCCAACTTAGGTCCTTTATGAACAAACCCTATGTTTATTCTCGGTACCTTAAAGGATGTTTCTCAAAATACATTATGTGCACAACTGAAGGAGATAACGCATCCAAATTGTACAAAAGAGTACACTGTATGATCTCTAAAACTTTATAAGCATGCCTTAAGTAGAGATCTCTTATTGTTAGCATAATGCTAACTATATTTCATGACTTCTTTATAAGTTAACTTTAAGTACTATCTCTAACAGCTAAGAGCTTGGAGTTGACACGTCTGTCACTCCCACTCATCAAAAATAGCCAAAAAATAGTCAAGTCACAGAAGCATTCCAATAACTTAGACAATAAACCAAAGATCTAAGTCCATAAATTTGGAATCTTAAACATACACCATAACTTCCCAAATAACTTCAATGTTCACTTTAAATGAACTGAACATAACGAGTCTTACTTATATGTCCCACAAAATTGTTTTGAGCCTTACAAACCAAAATGACCCAGGATCAATTTTGAAGAAACTAAAGACTCTATTAATCACTAAAGAATTTCTTAAATGGGAGTGCACCACTAGTTAAATATTTTTGTTCTAATAAATTCCTTAATGTTATTACAACATTTTCATAAATATGTTACACAACAAAATGTTTAATAATTTGAACTTATGAATTTATATGAACAAGTACAAGATTAATATTTTGGACTTATTGTCTGACATATAATCAAATTTAGGATGTATGAAGCCATTTAAATCCATAAAATTTAGTGGAGTATCTTAATGATCTTTTGCTAAATGATCACTCCCACTGATTAAAATATTCTTCAGCGAAATTAATAAAGTGAACTTAATAATATACATACTCATAATTGATTTATTGACCAACTAACAAATGAAGACATAATTCCCCACCATTAGTTGGACATACTAAATAATCAATTTTGGTTCCAATTAAAGTCCAACTAAATAATGAAGATATAATTCCCCACCATAGTTGTACATACTAAAATAAAAATACACCTTCCAAAACCAAGTTAGAATTTGGCTCAAAAGATACATTTTATTATTAAAGGAATCCAAAAGATGTATGTCAAATCACGTAACTTACTACAGTTAGTCCGAAGAACCGAGCAAGATTCGTGGATTAATTAATAGAAGTGACTAAATTTTGGGAAGTGACTGAATACATGTTTTGCCAATGCAAACCATGAACCTTAGAATTATAATTGAGCTAAATTTATAAATTCTAAGAATTGTGATAAAATTATTATCTAATGGGTTGGAGGATTTATAGACATAAAACTTGCCTGTGGGCTAAAGTTTTAATTCTATTAAATCCAATTAAGAAACCCTTATATCACAATTAATAAAGAGCCAGAAGAATCTAGTGACATAAAACTTGCCTGTGGGCTAAAGTTTTACTCAATTAGATCCAATTGAAAAATTATTTATGATGAAACCATTATCAAATGAGTTGAAGAATCAAATGACATAAAACTTACCTGTAGGCTAAAATTTTAGTCAATAAGATTCATTGCTATCATTATGATAAAAAACTTAAGAGAT